CTCCCTGACTCTGCCCTATATACCATCAAGATTCTATCTCAATCTTTATAGCTACAGTTTTGCCTCTCACTACACAGTTCAACCTTCACTGCCCAGTGTAGCCTGTTTAACCTTTCACTTCATTTTTCCCTATCCTTTCTTTTCATAACTCTGTGTGCCTTGTTCTTAAAGCCCATCTCTAGTCATGTGTACCTTATCAGTGATTCAAAATGGAATGTAGCCATCATCTTCCACATGAAGACACCACCTTTCATAGGGAGGCTTTGCCAAGAGCTATCTTATTCATTTTGTTCTCTTGGAGAATTTTGCTATGATCTGTATACTACAACAGCTATCTAATTTTATCTTCTTTCTGAAATTATTTCGGTTATACCCTTTTTCAAACAATTGCAATGTGTGCAGCTGCAGGTGGAGATAACTCATCCCATATTTAGGTTCTCTATAATACCTAACATAGTCTTGCTTATAGTGGATAATAGCTATTTATTAATCAAGCTGGATACATAAGTCAAGATCATAGTCAGTAGAGTTGAAATGAAGTGTCAGAGTAAAGTTTTACGCAATTCAATTCCTCTGACAAACCAAGTATCTTTGCATACTTTTTTCCCAACATATAAAAAACATCTCCTCCCTATATATGGTGCAAAATCCCAACAGATTAGTACATACAGCTCAAAGTTCAGGCCCTCTGGAGCATGTGCAACTTTCTCCATCATGCAATTTGACTTTTCCTAACTTCCCTTCTTACCATGCTGCATAAGTCTGATTATCTTATCTATTTTTTCAATGTCTACCTGCATTGTATAATATATAATGCATGCATCTTTTGGATAACTACAATTAAAAACTCCCCTTTGGAAACAGAGTAAGATATACAGAGCCCAAATTCTGCTTTAGGAGTCAAACAATTAAGATTGTTTCTGCAGACTAGGTTTATAGTTTCTTTAGTAATATAAGCAACATAAATAACAATGCCTAGTTGACTTCTAGTTATTTTCTTTTAGTGAATTTCTCTGAAAGCAATGCTAGTCCTAAATTTTATCTTAAAGGAATTGTTAAATCTGACATTTTTATGTCTGAACTAGTTTCTGAATTTAGGCCATTCTCACATCCCTCATCTCACAGGTAGCTTACTTAATGATATTACCTAGTAAGGAAAACTTGATGTTGTAATAAATAGTGGCTATTACTGATTTTTTAATTGTCCATCTCTATCTGTGTATGTTACTTACTTTTGGTTGTTGTGACAAAATACCTCGGAAAACAACTTAAGAGAGGAAAGATTTATTCTGCCTCATGGTTTCAGTCCATGGTCACTTGGCTCCCTTGCTCTTGACCCATATGTGGTAAGGCAGAACATTATGGCAGGGAACATGGGTGGTGTAAAGTGGCTGACTTCCTGGTGGACAGAAGGCAGAGAGACACAGGGACCTAGTTCTTTCAGTTAGGCGTCACCTCTGAAAGTTTCCACAGTTTTGCAATTAATTCATTGATTAGGTCAGAGCCTTTATGGGGCAATTACCTTTTAATGATTGGATCTACCAGCTGAGGACAAGCTGGAGAAAACTTTCAACACAAGAGCCTTCTACAGTGACAATTCATGTCCAACCATAACACTGTGGCAGAGGTTGCCAGCTGCATACAACATTCTGTCCTCTCATTTCATTGTGAAATTCCTTTTGGAAATGACTTCTTGACCACGGACCACATTTGTCAAACCTCCGTTCTGTCTGTGTAGGACCAGACAGTATCAGGGGATACTGATCTCATTAGTGATCAGTATCCCCTTTAATGATGGCTTTCAGAAGTAAGATGCCCACATCGTCAGCTGTTTCTGTTCCTGTTGGCAATAATGGCGCCGATAGGTTTCAGTTCTTACTGCACCCTTAAGCTTCTGTTTTCCAGGGTCACAGTTCTGCCTCAAGTCTAGCTTGAACCCTCCTTCTGCCCCAACCTCCAATCAGCATGAACCATAAGATCCTAACCAATCAGATCATGCTGAGTCCCACTGAGGGGTATTTAAGCCCCTGCCCCTCTCTCCCTCTCTCTCTTGGCTCTCTCTGCTCTCTTCCTCTCCCACCCAGCAATAAAGAATCTCTTGGCCAGATCACTCTTCTCCACGTGGTCACTTTGGGGCCTTATATTTCCTTTACAGTTCCTCTTTTCTGCCATCCTAAAATCCTGTGGGAAAACTAAAGGTACATCTAAAATGAGTATAACATTTCACTTTTTCTAGGGATTTGAAAGCTCTGATTCTTTTCAAGACATGTAGTTTGACTGTGAATGATAACAAAACTTGATTTTTCCAGGGAACTGCAGTATGTAGTTATTATCCCTTCCACTATTTGATCTGCCATAGTTTTGAGCTTATATAAATAATGTTCCACTTAAATACCACATTGTGATTTTACTTGTTAATTACTAATATTACAGAAGAAATTATATTGTTTAATTTTACTATACTATAAGTATCTTAATTTAGCCCAATCATAGCTTTTACTAAAAAGTAAATATCTAAGAAAAGTTATTTTTGATTATTAATATTTTAACATATAACCCACCTAAGATTTATAAATGATATTAAAATTTAATGTGTTAGCTCATAATTTAAATTATAGACTTTTAATTTTTTCTATATTTAAAGAAAGATATAATTTTTATAGAGTATAGTAATTCATGTTGATTAATTTCATTTGGCAATTATACTAGTGAAAACAAATCCTAGATGAATGTGCTCTCTGTAAAGAATTAGGAAATCTAATTTTCAAATATCTTTCAGATTCCAGTTTCACTAAATCATTTATCAAAGTCATTGCAGACCAGTTTCAATTTATGGTTGCTGCTATAGTATTAGCAGGGGTAGTCAATCTCACATCTCTCACCTCCTTCTTACATTAGTATCAATCTTGGTCTAAACAGTGAAGTGAAAAAAACAAAACAAAACACATAGTATTTTCAACCAAGGAAAATACTATTGTTTCAATGGTGAATTATTAACTGTAACAGGGACTGGCAAATGAGTAATTGGCAAGAATCACAGATACATCTGAATAATATGTGAACACCAGATATGATATTAAGTGATCTAATATGTAGTAACCACCTCTAAGAGATAGAGATAGGACATGGTCATGGCCCCCCAAGGCAAAGAAGTCACTGTGGTGCCACTTTGGTGGGATTGGCTGGAAATTCAACCTCTGGGATTCCAAGTGTCATACTGCAAGCTCTTCAAAATGCTTAGGGCTACTGCTGGCTATTAGGAGCCTGGGGAAGTCATCCAATCTGCAGAATCACAAGGAAACTGAGGCAACTAACATAGCAGGAGCTGAGTTCCAAATAACATGTACAATGCAGGAGATAGACACCAGTGGAGCTGCACATGTTGAAAGCACATGTGAGCTAACAAACCAGAACCAAGAAGCAAAGAGTCTTTTCTTATTCAGCATCTTGCATCATCTTCTGACAAAACTTGAAATTGTGCCAGCTGTTAAAAGTATTTTAAGGTCACAGATCCATTTTCAGAGAGTGAACGAAAGGGTGCATTTGGAGTTAAGAGGCAATTAAACAAAAAGCAAGCATTGCATAGAATAAAATTAGAATAATTTAGAAAATTATTTATTATTAAAAAATTAATTTGGGGAGTTAGATACTATAGAGTAATGGTTAAAAATGAAATAATATGTCTACCAGCATATTTGTTGCTTAATTCTAGTGCTACAAAAGAAAAAAATGATATTTTATTTCTCTGGGACTCAGTGTCTGCAAATTGAATGAATTAAGAAAAAAAAAAGTAAATTTGCCATACCAGTTAGGTTGACTATGTCAGTAATTGGATCTTGGGGGAGTGCTATATTTAGACTTACTGTTTCATGTAAATGTCATTAGTCATTTAACGTGAATAAATCATTTTATAATATTGCCACTAATAGGAAAGAAATTTCACAGTCAAGGAGGGACTTAGTTGTATATATTTTTGACATAACTTAATTGGTCAAATTATCCTAGTTGGCTAATAAACATGACTCTCAGTAAATGTTCTTCATAGTTTCCATAGCTCCTCAATAAAGAAAATGGTAAAATAGATTGTGGTGCATAAGTCATGTGAATTTTCTCAAGAGTCTTATGCTAAATATGTTCAAGGGAAGGAACTTCTTCAGCATAAAATTATCATCCAGTTCATCAGAATTTATTTTTCTCCACTTGGTCTAAGCTGTACATGGGAGTAAAGTTTTGTAGGGCAATTTAATTAAAATAAGTGGAGATTTAATTAGAATAGTATAAATTAATTGCATTTTAAAACCAATGCAATTAAACTAAGAGTTTTTTTTTTTTCTGACTACTGCAAAATGATAAAGGCCATGAAACTAACACATTGTATTTGGATTATTTCATGTCATTCAAATAAATTTGAGGAAAAACCATTTTTATCAGTTAATTATAGTTTAACCTTTTATTATAATCTCAATATTGATTGGCCATTATGAAATATATATATATGAATATGAAAATTTAAAATTATGCCATTTTAAGAATAACAATCTAAGAATAACAGTCTTATATAGATCAAGATAGTATCACATTGAATAGAAATATAAGGATTAAATAATTGAAAGCATGATTTCCATTAATGACACATAAATTTTCTGCCAAGGTAGATTTTCTGTTCAAAACGAAAAAAGAAAATGTGTGCCATTGTAAAACATGGCAGAACATACCAGTGAACGCCTGTAAGACCCCTATGTCTGAAGGTTAATTCTGGAATGATGTGAAAAAGAGAATTGACTTGTGTTAATTTTTTTGTACTGCTGTTGTTTTCTGCTTTAAAAAATGGAAAATATTGAGGCATAAAGATGGTGTGTCTTATTTGAACGTTTGTGTAGATAAGTAGAATTTTGTGTCTATGCCATTTTGTAGCTTTTTTTTTTAAACTTTACATTATTTTTGTACTTTAGATTATTTTTGTAGCACATATCTAATATCTTGGTTTATTTTTTTCTTAGCTTCTCCATGGGTTGATAATAGTAGAACTCCAAACAAGATTGACCTCTATGATGTTCGCAGAAGACCATGGTATGAATTTGTAGCTCTCCTTAAAGAAGAGATAGACAAAAGGAAGCTATATTCTTTGGTTAAATTGTTGGAGGGGGTAATCATTCTGTTATTAGGATGAACATTATCTCTTTATCAAAAGTATTGTGGTACTTTAAAAAATAAATTATAATTAAAGGTAAATGAAAGTGATGAGTTCAAGTGGGGAATGATGAAAAGTAGTGCTGAAATGATTAATCAAATTTATTTCAGATTGACTACAGTAAATTTTATATTCAATTTCAGCTCCAAATCTCTTTTAGCTGCCTGGAATTTTTGTTGATGGGCTCCCAGTTCGGAGTATAACTTTAATAGAGAGATGACACAGAGTAGGAGATAGTTTGCCTCTGGTGATGAGCTAATGAGATTTGCCCCAAGGTAAGAGCTGCCCCTAGTTACACTCAGATAGCTCAGGTTTTATTTTCCAAAAACAAGTTGTATTTGTCCCTCACTATTAAAGCAACTCATTCTCCTAATACAAAACTCAAAAAATATACTGATAATCCATAATTGAATTCACCAGAAACAAATATCAATTTCAGAGGGTTTTTTTACTATTAATTGTTTTGAGTTTTAAACAATGTACTTAATATGTGAATATATCTTTTTTAGTAACATAGTACTTTCTGCCCTGCTCTGTTTCTTATCACTACCTTTGAGTATATGTTCATAAGAAGAGAAACTAAACATCATTTAAAAAGAAGACTATCTGGTAACTTATTTAAGAAGAAATTCCCTACTATTGGTTAGATTATTTCTAACTTTCTGCTAAGTTTCAGACAAATTCTAAGCAGCTTAATGTTTGCCTCCCAGGACTTGTACTGAAGGCTTTCAAATGTCCTAAGTGTAACAGCAAATTACACAAACACCAATTATTTATAATAGTGACTGATACACATATTGTTCTTGACAGTATTTCAACAGTGTGTCCCTCTGGAGCCATAGGTTATGGGATGGAAGCACCAGACCAATTTATCACATAGAATTCAGGAATTGGTCATTTGGGAGGAAGCTCAGGAGAGAGGGGCCAGCTATTAGAAGCAGACAGTACCCTATCCTACCCTTCCCAATTCTCAATAGACACATGCCAGGGCCAGTAGTGTTAAGACACTAGGCATGAACTTGGTTTGTCTTCCACACAAATACACCTGTAGCTCTGCTACTGTACCTTCTTCCAGAGAAACAAGTCCAATGCAGGTTATAAACTTTTAACTGCCTTCTCAACACAGGAATCCTGAGTAGAGAGCAACTGTACACAGGCTGTTGAAAACAAATTGATCGGTTATCCAGCAGAGATCTGAGAAGCTAGATTGAGAGTGATAGAAAAGAGGCCTCAGAGAGAAGTGGAAAGTTGAGTTCAGGTGCAGGAACTCCTATCAGAGAAAGCAGGTCTTCAGTTCCCTGTCAGTCTATAGCCAGGCAGGCAGTATGAGCTTTTTGGGTTGATCAAATCATTTGCATAAAACTCTAGAGTCTCATTAAAATGCAGAGGTTCTGATTCTGTAGGGGTGTGTTTGAATTTGGGAAATAACTATTTGAACTGATTCTCTGGGTGATTCTTAGAAAATAAAGTTTTGAGAGCTACCACTTGAAATTCTTGGTAACAACGTTATTTATTGCATGTTTTTTTAGTTACCTTATAGATAGCTTTTTTCTTATCTCAGAGATCTATAAATATAAATACAACAAATATTAATGTTTTCTATATTGCAAGATAAAAAATATTTCTGTGGTATTTTTTTCAGGTATATCCAAGGAGCTGCATCTCCTAAAGACATGCTTATTCTGGTTGATGTGTGAGTAGTTAAATATTACCTATTTCTATCCTGAGAATATGAAAGTATTTATAGACAGTAATGTGTTGGGAAGAATTGTATGACAAATTGAAAAAAAAAAAATAAAGAATCATTATGGTACTTTTATATCCAGACAGAAAAGCCATCTGAAGAGATAAGAAACCCAGCAAAGAAGAACATCGTTTATGTCTGGGTCTGACTGGAAAATTATGGCGTGGTTCTAAAGTCTGAGGATTTAGAAAAGCTTTTATTTGCTTCCAATGTTTTCATTAGACTTTGAACAATATCAAAGTGCAGAATTGGCAAAAGTAAGCAGTTCGTGCTACAAAAAATAATAAAAATATAGAACAATTTCGTTGCCAATTAATCATGAATGATTCTATTAGTTTACACAAAGTAGGTAAATATTAAATATATCTAATGTTAGTACTGACGCTTTTTCAAGGGACATGTTGATCTATAAGAAAAATTTCCAGCAGTTTCTGTATTGGCTGTTTTGCCACATTGCTTCTAGTTAAGCAATCTGTGAGTGTCAGTGTGTCTGTGATACAGTAGTTGTAGCTAGTTGCCTAGAGATGAGACTTACAAATAAGGGAGGTTATGGAAGATCACAGAATGTGTACAGACAAGAAAATTAAAGACTAAGTTCTAGAAGCTATCTGCTTTAGAGTACAGAACAAGGCATTTTGTCACAAATCTATTATTATGGTTGTTATGCAACTTTTATAATTATTGTTTTAATCAAGTCAAACAGTAGGCTCCCTGAGATGGCAGCTGTGCCTATTAGCCTCTGTAGTCCTCACTTCTAGCTCCACCACTGAACTGGTATTTCAGACATATTTTCTGAATAAGTGCATATGTTGTCAGTATCCACATGTTTTCTTAATTGTCACTTGTCATGTAATTTTGATAATTTTAGTTAGAAATATGTACCGAGTGATATTGGTAGGAAAGACAGATTTCTTATACTTTCCACTACATCAAAAAAATCTTTTTGTACTGATTTTTTAAAAGACAAATTCATTATTTGAATATTACATAAATGACCAAGAATTAATACATATGCTATCTTTCCTTATGATTTTACTGATTAAATAACTGGCTAGTAATATGTGGGGACCCCCCCTTGTCTGTTCACAGGAGTGGAAGTGTTAGTGGGTTGACACTTAAACTGATTCGAACATCTGTCTCTGAAATGTTAGAAACTCTCTCAGATGATGACTTCGTGAACGTAGCTTCAGTAAGTATGAGATGACTAAATTCCCTGAATTATATCTGCAAACTCTATCTCACCCCAGCTTTAGATATTATATATTTTTATCTTAGATAGGCTGAGGTTTCTCTGATGCATTACAAGCTCTCTTACTGAGCTATCCTCTTAGTTACTGGTTCTCCTGTACTTCTATGCCAAGATCCCTTTTGCATTGCTAAGCTTTTACACCTGAGAGAAGTAATTGAAATAATGAATATGAATGAAAGCATTCTTCATGTTCTTCACTCAAAGAAACCTGGCTAAGTAATGTGATCACATTCCCTCAGTTAGGATATCTAGAAGTAGTGTCCTGGCAATACGATCAGATAGTAATTTTCTTTACCTTATAATTCTCCTTTGCACCCTGGAAGAATGTCCAGAGTGCATTGTGTTTTTACAAATATGCTTTTCTTAATAACACAAGAACCAATAAACACTTAAATGTGCTTGGAACCACCTTAGACATTCATACACATAGCTAGGAAGTACTGAACTGTGAAGTAAGTGAAATAAGTTAGTTGGTGTTACCACAAATCATTTTAACTCATAGATTTTAGGCAGAGAATTTTATGGGCATTTTCCTGATGGATATAACTTCACATTTGAAGTGATTATATCCATAGAATGTGAGTAGAGCAGGAGGAATTGTTACAGGTGACATTGTTTTGTCTTGAGCACATGAGAATGGATCTGTCTCTGAAATCACTTAGGAGGAAGAAGGTAAAGCAGTTGGTCTGTAATTGATTTTTCTCCCTTTTCTGAAGGATGTTATGGGGTGGGGAAAGAAAGGAGACCTAGTATAACTCCATATCAACAGAAGCTCCAGGTAGCTAGAACAGTATTAACTAAGAGAAGAGAATTTATCCTTGAAGTGCTGTTGGTGATATAGTTATAGTAACTAGAACCTACTACCTATGATGCAGGATTTGCTGGAAAATGTCTTGCAGGTGATGTAATTTTCTGGGGAATAAATTGGAGGTGTTTCATAATTTAAATAAATTCACAAGCAATCATGTAAAACTCTTGTTGAGATTTTATTTCATGTGGTCCAGAGGAATGTGTCCAACACAGAAAGAAAAGAAGTGGAGAGTCATTCATCTTCTGTGTCCAGAAATCTGCTTTCTGTGAACCTTACAAATTCTTTAATTTGTCTGTGCCCTTCATGTTATTTAGTAATGCTTGATATTGCATAAGATCTCTGATTCATGTTTGTCTGATTTTATAGTCTGATCCTATGTTGTTAATTTTCTTCTTACTTCAATAAAAGTAAAATGTAAGGCTTCCAATCAAATAAAATGTTTGGAAAAGATTTACATAAGTGTGATTTGTACATAAGTATATTAATTATAAAGCCATTGGAATCAATGCTAATGAAATACTATCTTTGGAATAGCAAAAGAGAAAGGCTCAGACACATTACATTTAGTGCAAATTTGCAAATCGAGGGAAATTTTATTCAAAACCAGAAGATATTAAATATTGCTAATGTCTCTGTCTGGCTTCTTCTAGAGGCTGAATCTCAGCTAGGGGTTCAAGTGTAACAGTTTATTTTGGAGGTGATCACAGGTGATATTACTAGTTAAAGGAGTGAGGAGTGATGCAGGAGGAAAGGAGGAAGCCAATTAAAAATCTTAGTTTAATGTAAGAAACTTAATACATTTGAGAAATTTTGAAAGCTGTGCAGAATATTCATTTCAGAATTATCCTGCCCCAAATCCAAAGGAGCCAGGGTGTTGGGTAGCATTCTTCTCCATGTGTGGGCAGAACAGACTCTGACCAGAAGAGGGTGCACTGAAACAGAAAGTTGTAGATGCTGGTTGTTAGGAGGGGCGGATGTATACTCTGTCTAATCAGTGGCTCTTAAAGATGGACACTGGTCACATTTTAAAGAAAAACCTCTATGTATGAAGGATGGTGGGCTTCTAAAGGTAGAATTAAATGTGCAATTACATGTTGCACATGTAAAGGAGGTCATAATTTATTTTCATATTTTCTCTCCTCTAATAACCTTCCTAGTTTCCCTGCATATTGGGCAACTCTTATGCTGGCAGATTGGTTGGTGAGATGATCCCAGTTTTTTCCTCAGAGGTCTATGAATCCATAGTTTCTGTTTCCACTTAAACCGTGGTTCTGCAATTGTCCATCCATAGTTACCACCAAACATGGGGGTGTTCGAATGAATCCTCTGAATTCCATGCATAGCACTTCCCTGCCCACATTATGCAGCTATGACTCTCATGATAATTTCCTTTTTTCCCCCATGATGGTCATGAGAAGCTCAAGCTACCCAGGTAGTAACTATTAATTTATATGTAGAGAAAATCCTTTCCAGCCCTTGTAAGAATATTACAACCCTCTCCCCCAACACACACACACTTGAAAAGCAAAACATATATTTCAGTAGAGACAGGAAGTTCAGATTTCCCAAGTGGATCATTCTAAGTTGGGATAACAGGAGACATTCCTACTTCTCCCCTTGGTTCCACATTAATGCATTCTATTTTCTGAAGGCACCAGTGAGGCAGAGGTAAGACTTGTTTTCTATCATTTGTCAGTTCTCTTTATGTAAATACATCATGGCCAGTTTCACGCCAGCAATGTAAGATCAGCTGGCCTTAAAAATTTCTGAAAATTTAACCATTGTTTTTTATGAGTGGGTATAAGCTGCTGTCAGTGTGTAGCACTGTTGTTCAAAGAACCAGTTTTCAAAATACATATGTATCCTAAATTGCACATATCTAAAGAAGACTGTCCCTTCTGGGCCCTGTTGGGTCACACCTGCAATCCTAGCTACTTCCATGATTGAGATTGGGAGGATTACAGTTCAAGACCAGCCTAGTCAAAATAGTTCATTAGACTCCATCTCCAAAATAACCAGAGCAAAAGACTGGAGTCTTGGCTCAGGTGGTAGAGTCCTGGCTTTGCAAGCACCAAACCAATTTCAAACCACAGTGCTACCAGAGAGAGAATGAGAGAGAAAAAGAGAGAGAGAGAGAGAGAGAGAGAGAGAGAGACTGCCCCAATGTTGTCAGGTGGACAGCTTCTTGTGAGGCAGCATATGGCAAGCTCAGTAGATTCTTCAGTCTTGTGTCCATTATTGGACTTCCTTTATGATAAAATGCATTGCTTCATTTGAGAAGATGTTATGTAGGATTCTATGATGATGAGTCAAGCAATATGCTTGCTTTGAGGATTACTGATATGAATAAGGCACTATGAAAACGAAAGAACCCCATCACTAGGATATGTGTCAATAACAAGAAAATAATTTTTATCCCTTCTCAAGAGAGGTAACATAAAATGTAATATTTCACATCAAATTGCTGGTTGTTTTCTTTGAGAGATATTTTCACATTGAGGACTCTATATTGGGTTATTCTCCTTTACCAGTGGCAATGGCTATGTGCAAGTAGGTGAGAAAGAGTTCATTCTTTCAGCTCCATGCACATTCCCCTCTCTCTACTATTTAGTTGCTCCACTCAGAGGCCCCTTTTGCAATTAACATAGCTACCATAGAGCTGGAGGAGCTCCAGTGGACAAGTTCTCTTATCCTTCCAATTGTTCAGTACCTCCTCTTTGTTGATTTCTCTCTAGTGAACGAACACTGATGTAAGACAAATAAATGTGCATGCCGCATGCCATCTCCCATAGGTACCACAAACTTTTTCTCCAAAACTCTGCTCCTTTTGGGATCTTGGCCCACCAGCTAGGCCACTTACTCCTGCACAGGAATCCATATGTTTTCTTATCTCAGGCTATTTATCAAATAGCCACAAATTGATGACCAAATGTATTTTACTTCAAGGTCCTTGGCATTCATTCTCTGCATGTTCTCCTATTATGTGTGGTTTATATTAAACTGATCCTGCACCTCCTTTGTTGAATATTTTCTGTTTTGTTTTCCTGGAGGAAGCACTGCCCTAGGTGGTCTGTGTTGAGACCTAGGTGGTCTGTGTTGTCTAGAGCTATGAGTAGAGGTGGAATCGGATCATGTGGACAGGAAACACCATGCTATAGTCTCTAGGAACAAGGGCAACAGGTTCTCTCTCTAACCAAAAAAGATAGGGAAATTCAGAAATTCATTGTTCTCAGGTGTGAATGAATGCTCACATCTCATCATCCTAATCTTGAGCCCCCATTCCTTTATTATCAGTTTTGTCCCCATATCTCTCAAAGGCTAAGTATGTCCTCTTCGATCTGTATTGTGTTCTGTTCAGATGACCATACATGGTAATCTTAACAACATAATGCTACAGCATCTGAAGAGTTTTCTTGGTTCCAGTTGTGATTGGTACACACAGTTACCAAGGGGTCTTTGTTGCCATATGAGTGCTGAGTGATTCAGTTCTAGAATCCCATCCTGAGGATCTGTTTACTAAGACTACTACAGTGCACTATCAACTCTGATTGGATGTCTCCAGAAATAGTCCTCATGATAAGGACCCCAGTTCAAATAGTTTATTTTGGTAATAACTCTAGGAAAGGCTGTTTGAAAATGTGATAATTAAAACAAAGTAGAGAACTAATAAAAGATCTACACAGTTTACTACTCGTAGTGTAATACCTCTGGGTAATTCTGGGAAGCACTGTAGATTACATGAATGAGAGTACAAAAAGTGTCACATTTTCAAGGGAAAGATGTGCTTCAGTATGTAACATTGATGACTGCTCTCGAGGGACATCAATTATCTGGTATTTCTAGTTTACCATGTGCCATAGCAGAGGGTTGCCTACAGTCTTGGGCAGTTACAAGTTAGTTTGGCAAGACTGGAAATACGGATGGGGCATGGTAGCAGCTACCACAGTTGGAAGCTGAGCTGAGTTGTTAATATATATATATATTTTTAAGTTTTTGTTGGATGAGTTTTGTACTTCCAACATTTGACTAACAACTAATGGTTCTTTCCTAGTTAAAGAACTAGGGGATTGACATTGAGTTTCTGAATGCCTGAAAAAAATATTTTGTTGGTTTTCCTAAAAATACTATG